TTTATTTTATTTTTATTTTATTAAATAAGCAACTAACATGACATTATTAAAAAATATGATTGGTTGTCAATGTAAAAAAACTTTACACTAACAGTATATAAGTAATTAACTATATATATATATATATATAAAGAAAAAATACTATGTATAAAAGTATAATTCGGCAAGATTTCGGTTTTGAATCATGTACCACACTATTACAAGAGTGTTAAGCAGTAAGGAGTAACTAAATTCAAAATAAATAAATAAACAAATAAAATTAGTAACCGTGACTACTAACAAGTAAAACGAAGCGTTTTGAGTTGAGAATAACATGAAATTCTGCCACCATCTTCTTCTTGTATTCATGCTGTTTAGGGTTTCAGAATTTCAGTTTTCTGTTCATCTCTTCACTCATGCATATACACTAATTTCTCCGAGCTTTCTTTTCCGTGACTCGGGAAATTGAAAGTCTCCGACAGCATTGTGCCACCCGGTACGAAGTTTTTGTTCCTTTTTTTATTTCTCATAATCCAAATGTAAAAGAAACAAAAATCGTTTTTTTGTCTGTTTTGCATCTTGGTGGCTGGGGCATACTATTATTTTTTAATTTAGGATTCTTCCTTCCACTAGGGTTTTTGAATTTTTTGTGTATCGTTAAAAAAAAATGAGTTTTTTTTTTTATGATTCTGCGACTAATTATTTGCGTTTTGGGAATTCCCCTTTCACCGGGGTATTGAATTTTCCTGTGCTTTGTTTGCTAATTGCTATGCTGTGCTGCGTTAATTGTTAGGTTATACTGTGGTTTGCAATTTGCATTGAGAATTTGAGAGGTGAGTAGCATACACATTGATTGATGTTGCAAACTTGCAGTGGCAATGGCTTATGTTGATGAGGATGCTTCTTCTGGCTCTGGAGACGATGTGAACTTGTTGGATGGACACAAGCGTCAGGCCGGTGTCCCGTCGGGTTCTTGCGGTGGCCGGAAGAGAGGCCGGAAAGCGACCGGGGCTGCTATTGTGGATGCTATGCTGGAGATAGCGGCTGCTTCGAAGATGAGGGCAAGTGCAATTGCGAAGAATGAGGAAAGTTTCTCTATAAGCAAGTGCATCAAAGTATTGGACGAGATGCAAGGTGTTGATGAGCGGATTTACTTTCTTGCTTTGGATTTGTTTGAGGACCACCCTAATGCCCGGGAGGTTTTCATCTCTCTTAAGGACGAAAAACGATTGCTGTGGTTGCAGGGCAAATGTGGTGTTTCCTCCAGTTGAATTGTTTGAGAAAATTTTCCTTTTTTCTTTGTTAAAAATGATCCTATACTTTTGTACAGTTAAGTAAATAGCAAGGGATGATTTTAGTTAGTACCTTCACTAATTAGATTTTGTGCTTAATGCCTATTTATTATGAATTTTGAAAGCAAAAACAGCACTTTGTTTTGAACTATTGTTTGACTTGTTTTATGCATGAGCATGATTGTAATGCTTTCTGAACCTATGAACTAGATATATCAGAGAGATATATTATCCATCACTATTCGTACTCTTGAAGTTTATCTCTACAGATACACCAATCAACATGGATGACATTGACCTAGAATTGGATGAGATGGAACTAGTTGCTGCAGCTGCCGGATACTATTACTATAGCTGTCTGACCAAACAGCCTTCCCGTGGTTTATCACCTAGGAGATGTGAATTTATGATGGAAATGCTCAACGGGCATGATGAATTTTCTCGGGAAATGTTGCGGATGGACAAGCATGTATTTCACAAGTTGTGTGGCATTCTCCGTCAAAGAGCTATGTTACGTGACACTGCTGGCGTAATGATAGAGGAGCAGTTAGCAATATTTTTAAACATCATCGGTCACAACGAACGTAACAGGGTGATTCAAGAGCGGCTT